CCTGGCGGGAGGGATTGAGGTGCCCCGTGTAGGGCTTCATCAGCCACAGCTTCAGTGGGTAGGCGGAATCCCCCACCAGGCACACGGGCATGTCCAGGCACATTAATATCCGGGAACTGTCCCCGGTGGTTACACATGGCCTGCAAGATCATGGAGACGTACCCCTTGCGGTTGACGTACTGGGAGGCCTGGTGTTCCAGGGCACGGATGGGGATATGCGTCCCGTCGATGGCCCCCCCACAGTTGGGGAAGCCGAGGGTGCCGAACTCCCAGATGACTGCATCCGGGTTGGCGAGGCAGACCACCCTGCGGAGCAGCACCTGGTTGATGGCCTTAACCACCTGCAGAGACACACAGCAAACCACGAATCACTGGGGCACCCGGGTGGCTGAGAGTGTTCGTTCCCTGGCACTGCCTCACGCCCCACTACCGGAAGCAACTCCCCCGGACGGCGTGTAGTACGGCCAGGACAGACCGAACCCTCCAGTGCAGGGCACTTTCTCCTCCTCCCCCCCCCCATTTCCCCTGGGGCGGCCTATCCCCTCCTTGCAGCCGCCCTCCCCCCCCGGCCCAGTGGCTGGTGAGTGCTGTACCTGCGTGAGCACTGCTCCGACGGTGGATCTCCCCACGCCGAACTGGTTCCCGATGGATCGGTAGCTGTCTGGCGTGGAGAGCTTCATGAGGGCGATGGCCACACACTTCTGGAGGGGGATGGCGGGCCTCATGCGAGTGTCCCATCACCGCAGAGCAGGGGTGATCCATTCGCATTGCTCCAGGAAGGTGTCCCTTTTCATCCTGAAGTTCTGGGTCCACTATCTGTCTCCCCAGTGCTCCAGGATGATGCAGTCCCACCAGTCATTGCTAGTGTCCAGACGCCAGATGCAGCGGGGCACGCTGGCGTCCTGGCGCTGCTGCGGCTCCTCCATGGCCCCCAAAGAGGCCAGGCGGAGAGGTAGGGGGCTGACATGCACCAGGTGGTGACAGGCAGCCTCCAGCTGTTGCTGGCAGGCTTGCAGCAGCAAGGCCAAAAACTGCACCAGAAAGCCCAGGGCGAGCTCTGGCTCCATGTTGCCAACTAACACAGGCAGGTGGAGAGGAAAATGCTTTGCTGTCCCACGGCGAGGTAGGCAAGCAAGCGGAAAAGCTGAGAACCGGCTGTCCAGGGGGGTCCCTTTAAGCACGAGCCTCAGATAGCCTCAGACAGCAGCCACACAAAGCAACTACTGACCTGATGCCCTGCCAGAACCGGTTTCAGCTGCCCTTAAATGTGCCCCAGCGTCCAATCAGTGTGGAAATGCTCGTTCGAATTAGCAAAACTCTAATTCGAACTAGTTTTTAAGTCTAGATGCGCTAATTCGAATTAGCTAGGTTCGAATTAACTAATTCGAACTAAGTTAGTTCGAATTAGTACTGTAGTGTAGCCATACCCTAAGATATTAAGATACAGCAGATTGAGATATTAAAACTGATAGGTTACATGATGTATTTTATCCAAAGCAAATTCGAGTTACTGTCACTGAGACCAATGAGGGAGGAGATGCATGTGGCCCATATTTTTCATCTCCCTCATCACCAGAGCTGGATTAATATGTTGAAATGACTCTTCACTTGACAAAAAGCCTGATTATCCTCATGCGCAGGTGTTTGCTTTTCACGCTGTACACGATTGGGTTCATCAGGGGTGGCACCAGCAGGTAGATGTATCCAAAGAGAATCTGAAGCCAGTGAGATGAGCTGTTTCCAAATCTGTGTATCAGAGACAGACTGACCATTGGTGTATAGAAGAGCAGGACGGCGCAGAGGTGGGAGACGCAGGTGTTCAGGGCCCTGAGGGTCTCCATGCGGGATGCAATGCTCAGCACTGTTTTGAGAATCATCACATACGAGAGGAGGATAAGCAGAGAGTCCAACCCCACTGTGGAAAGTATTATGACCAAGCCATAGATATTGTTAACTGTGATGTCCGCACAAGCCAGCTTCATGACCTCATTGTGCATACAGTAAGAATGGGAGAGGACATTGGCTCGACAGTATGGGTAGCGTTTCAGGAGAAAGGGGTATGGGAGTGCTAAAGCCACCCCTCTTAGCATACACACCAGTCCTAACTTGGCTATTCTCAGTGGGGTTAAGATGGAAATGTATCTTAGTGGGTCACAGATTGCAATGAAGCGGTCAAAGGCCATCGACACGAGCACAGAAGATTCAATGTATGAAAGCGAGTGGAAGAAGAACAACTGGGTAAAACAGGCATCATGGTTGATCTCCCTAGAGTTAAACAAGAATGCGCCTAGTGTTGTCGGCATAGTAGTCATTGATAATCCAAGGTCTGTGATGGCCAACATGGAAAGGAAAATGTACATGGGTTCATGGAGGCTTGGATCTGTTTTTATAAAGAAAAGAATACCTGTATTTCCCATTAGCAATATGGCATAAATAAGGCACAAGGGGATAGAGATCCACAGATGGACATCTTCATGCTCTGGTATCCCAGTGAGAAGGAAAACTGCAGGAGTAGATTTGGTGACATTGACATCTGACATGATGTACTGGGTAGATCTGAGGAGTTTTGAATTTTCCTTCCTGAAAGGAAAAAGAATAGAAGGCAAGACAATATTTTACGAGACATTGTTCTGTTCTCAGTAAGTAGAGGGCAGTTATGACACAAGAACCCCAGTAGTTCAAGGAAGAGGAGCAAAAATATATTCTTGGATTTACACCTCTGATAGGAAGTTAGGGACGGTCTGGTTGGATGAGACCTGTAGTCCATTATGCCCAATATCCAGTGACTAGTACTAGAACCTGCAGCTTGAATGAAGGAAGACCTGCAATAGACAGCTACGAGATGACCTACTTCTAGGAAAGTTGCACACTTCCTGAGACATGGATATATTTTGTGATGCCAATCACAACTGTTGATTGGCCTTCCAAGAGTTCTCAGAAAATACTCATGACTGAAGTTGGATTTTTCTAGTTACCCATATAAATATCCAGCCACTTTTTGAATCCCGACAAGCTCTTGGCCCCATTAATATATTGTGGCTGGGATTTCCATGCCCTACTTGAGCACTGCGTGATATTAAAACATTGACAATCCCAAACATGCAATACCACCTCAGTGTGGCCTATTTTATAATGCTATGGGCAGTGAATGGGGGGAACTGTTGCGGTTGTGGTAGCAGGAGGATTATACAGTTATTTTGACTCTCTCCTCAGACCCTATACTATCAGCAATCCTACCTACCTTCTAGACACCAGTAACTTCCTGGACACCGTGGATGTAAATGCTCTTGACACTTTTTGTTTTAATTTTTTTTGGAATGGAGATGCCTATCTCCTAGAACTGGAAAGGACCTTGAAAGGTCATCAAGTCCAGTCCCCTGCCTTCACAGCAGGACCAAGTATCATCCCTGACAGATTTTTCCCCAGATCCCTAAATGGCCTCCTCAAGGATTGAACTCGCTGGCTGTGTCTACACTGGCACCTTTTTCTGGAAATGCTTAAAACGGAACAGTTTTCCGTTATAAGTATTTCCGGAAAAACAGCGTCTACATTGGCAGGATGCTTTTCTGGAAAAGCCCTTTTTCCGGAAAAGCGTCCTTGGCCAATGTAGACGCGCTTTTCCGGAAAAAAGCCCCGATCGTCATTTTCGTGATCGGGGCTTTTTTCTGGAAAAGACTACTGTGCTGTCTACACTGGCCCTTTTCCGGAACAGTTTTCCGGAAAAAGGACTTTTGCCTAAGCGGGAGCAGCATAGTTTTTCCGGAAAAGCAGCTGATTTCTTACAGCAAATCGTCACTGCTTTTCCGGAAATTCAAGGGGCCAGTGTAGACAGCTCACAGCTTATTCCGGAAAACACAGCCACTGGGTTTAGCAGACACCAGCATTCCAGACGATGAGGGATTATTAGCTGTCAGGAACATTAACCTCAAATACACCACAGTACACCTAATGACTAAGTCCTCACCGTCAACTATTTGCAGTTTGGGGATAATGTATACCTTCAAGTCTGCAGCACAACTACAGGCACCCCGATGGCCTCACAATATGCCAACACCTTTATAGCTGACCTCGAAACAAGGTTCCTCGGCTCTCATCCCATAATCCCATTACTCTACTTACATTATGTTGATGTCTTTATTATGAAGTATAAATGGACACAAGTCAGGTATCAGAAATGGTAATAACAGAAACCTGTAGAAGAACATTTTAACCCACCTGGGCACTCATGAATGGATTTAAATGTGACCATTCTTCTACAAAGGAATTTCCAAAACCAACTAGAGAGAGAGAGAGACAAAGAGAGAGAGCAGAACTGAGCTTCATATGTCAATTTTACACTCTCTCCTAGTTTCAACAAAGATAAGAAGTGGATGGTCCCTTATAAAACCTGCTTTTCTTACATTCCACATGCTAGTGAGATAAAAACTAATGATGGGACACTTCCAGACCACTCAATTAGTCTCACTGCCATCAGCTTTACAACTGACAGGTACCCACCCCCCCGCGCTCCATTCTTTTACCACTATAAATTGAGAGGTTCCCCCCTTTTCTCTCCATGCTACTCACATCTCTCTCTCTCTCTTTCTCTCTCTCTCTGTATATATATATCTTTGTTAGTCTATAAAGTGCTAAGGGACTTCTTGTTGCTTCCTAAGGAATGGCATCATACCACTGTTTCCTGAACAACGAGTTCATTGCACAAGCCCATTGCAAGCAGTATTTGGAGTACTGTCCTATACTTTCTAAACTAAAACCCATCAAGAAGTAAAGTTGCCCCTGCTCCTTCCCTTAGACATTCCAACAACTCTGCTGCTGGCTTCCAATATATAAGCATGATAAAGTGTGGCTTGGAATATTTCTCTCATGATGACAAGTTTGAGCGTAAGATTTCACATATGTACATTAGCTCACACATCAACCCATTTTCCCCTCTGATCTCTCAGGCTATATCTACACTGTGGGTTTTTTTGGGGGAGGGGGGATACCTCTGGAATCTCAGAAAAACCCTGCCATATCCAGAGAACACATTTGCTCTTTTGCTTTTTTTCTTTTTGCAGAAGTGAACACACGCTCTTTCAGAAGCCCCTGTATTTCTCGTTACACAAGGAAGAAGGGGGCTTCTGAAAGAGGTTTTTTTTTCTGAAATTTGGCCAATTCTAGATGCGCCAAATTTTGGACAAGCTTCTTGTGAAAAAAAAATCAGAAAAAGCTATGCAAAATTGTGGAGCACATTTTGTGTAGCTTTTTCTGGAAAAAAATGTAGTGTAGACCTAGGCTCAGAGATGATTTCTCAGGTCAAAGAGGGATCTTAGCATAAGAACCTGTTTCTTAGCCTGGGAGAGAATTTTGGGTTTCACTTTTAATACTTTTACATCCTCACTAATATGTGTGAAGAGCAAAGATGCCGTGTGGTTCATTTCCCACACCCAAATGGGGCTTTTAGCACAACAAGACAGATATATGGGTATGTCTACACTAGCTCGTTAGTTCGAGCTAGGTAGGCAAATGAGGGCAACCGGAGTTGCAAATGAAGCCCGGGATTTAAATATCCCGGGATTCATTTGCATGTTCCCAGGCGCCGCCATTTTTAAATCCCCCTTAGTCCGAACTCCGTGCCCGCAGCTACACGCGGCACGGGGTAGGTAGTTTGAATTAGAGACCCTAATTCGAACTACCGTTACTCCTCATTCCAGGAGGCTAGGTCTACATTCCATGAGAAGTACCGGTAGTTCAAATTAGGATGGAGTTCGGACTAAGGGGGATTTAAAAATGGCGGCGCCTGGGAACATGCAAATGAATCCCGGGATATTTAAATCCCGGGCTTCATTTGCAACTCCGGTTGCCCTCATTTGCCTACCTAGCTCGAACTAACGAGCTAGTGTAGACATACCCATAAGGACTGGAAATAAATGTGTTGCAGGTGATGGGGGACAGTTTAATATATGGGCACACAGTTCATGACTGTCCCGGTTTCTTATTTCAAATCAAGGTTAAGCAAATGGGGAAGAGGAGGGAACAGTGGATTGCCAGATTTTTGTGTATCTTGAGTAACCCACTGTGCAGCATGGGACCATTTGAAAAATCCTGACTCAGAGCATCAGCGTTTTAACACTCTGAGCTTTGTTTGAGAGCCAGATTTCTGTGTAGCTTAAATAACCTTTAGTGAATGACTACGGCTGCCTGCCCTCCAGCCCTGTCACTGGGTCACCCCAACAGCCCAGCTGAGTCCTCTGCTGCTGCACAGAACATCTGCCAATGCAAACAGCCTGCAGCCTTCACCCTGCACTTGGCATGTTACAGACAGTGAAACCTGCCCACGTACCCAGTTCCTGCAAGAAGGGAGCCGCTGGCACCAGAGGTCTTCACCCTACAGCACAAGGAGTATCAGAGAGGTTGCACAGGCAGCAGGCAGTGTCTGTAGAGGTAGGGAGGCAACTGCCTTTATGCAGCGTGCCTCTACATTCCCTTGGGGACACTTGACCATAGGGGAGTCTCAACTGTTTGGCTCTGTGTGCACCAGCTTTAACCCCCTCACGTCCAATAGCAAACTTCCGAGGCCAAATCACAATGGATGCATCTTTGCAGCAGGCTCCATTCTTGGAATCTGGGCTCGTCATCGCGGTTCTTATGGTTCTGATTGGACACATAGAACCCTGAGTAGTAACGACGATGCCATCAGAGCTGTGATCTTGCTGAATTATAATGCAATATGAGAGTCAGAATAAGAATGGACCAGATTTCTCAGAGCAGCCTCATTTTCCTGCATCACAAATCCAAGGTGCAGGCCAGGGAAGGGAGATTCCACAAGGCTCCATGTACATTGCATTGGTCCAGAAGGGGAGGGGCCTTCCCTGAAGAATGAAACAGGATACCCAAGATCCAGGGATGCCCAAAGTTAGGCCAGGCCTCACTGGTTCATTGGCATCTATGTTCCTTCTCCCCTCTTCCCCCCCCCCCCCCCCCTCCCTGCGCCTCTTCCTTT